TTCACCAGGAAATTCAGGAATTGGATTGTTGTGATGATGTTCCAGAAGATGATGACATGATTGTCATTGAATAAATGAGTAAATTCTTGATACTGCAGGATTCACAGTTTGTCTGGTTTGTGTTGACAACTATCATACTACTGTACCGTATACAGGTAATAAATTTCCTTTATTTTCATTTAACAATAAATGTGTACTGTATTCTTCTTCATGGAAAAATAAGACATCCCCTGAAAATAAGACCTAGCGCATCTTTGGGAGCAAAAATTAACATAAGACACTGTCTTATTTTTGGGGAAACAGGGTATTTACTAAATGGCCTCCTCAATGCCCAGGTTTATGCTGTCACCAGTAGAATAGCCTGGCATCTATTGTCCTGAAAACTCACTGAGAACATTTAGATAATTTTGATAGATAAAAATTCAGCATTAATTTGTATTTATTTGATTACTGTTGAGTGTTGTTTCATGCTACCTAGCTATTTTGCCCTCTTCTCTCCCTTCCTTCTCTTTATCTTCCTCCACCTCTTTCTCATGAATCTTCTTCTTACCTGAATTGCTTTTTCACACTTTTAGTTCATTTATCCTGGTGTTTTATTATTGGTTTACAAAAGATCTTTATTTATTAAGAATATTAGTCTCTTTATTAAATACTTAAAATGTATTAGTAGATGGATGCCCCTGGGACGACTGGCAAGAAGAAAGGGGAAAAGTTTTCTAAGCAAAATACATGGGAGAAGTGGTGGTTCTGAGGTGGAAGAGATGATGCTTGCTGAGGAAAAAACATCATGCTGTGGTGAGCCTTAGCAGAGCACTAGAAGTAGGTACAAGAGGATCAGAATGATTGTGGATAGAGAGGGTCTGAGGCCAGGCTCAGAACTCTGATCAGAAACTCTGAAATATCCCTGAGCAAAGTGAAAAAGTGTGCGTGCGTGCGTGCGTGCGTGTGTGCATGCGTGTAAAGTTGACTGAAAGCCAACAAATTATTATTCTTAATATAATCTTAACTACTTTTAGCTATGGGTGTAGAAAAGTTTTCTGGGGTAAAATTTACAGAAATGGCAATAAGATTAGAGACCATATTCCTTGTTTCTCTCTCAGTAGTGGGAACATGAATTATTAAAGAATTCTGATTAATAATAATTTTCAGTTGGTTGAGGCATTATTTGGTCAGCAGCAGCTTTCTAGATTTCATGATGCTTAAGACTGTGGGAACATCTTAATATAGTTCCAATTCCTAGGGAGAGAGTGGGGGACAAATAAAACACAGACACACACCGTGATTTTAGTACTCCAGTTAATGACGTATCGTAGGACAGGATGGTTCCCAAAAAGAAATGACACATTTGATTGGGGACCAGATAAGACTAGAAAGGCTGCTGTTGGTAGGCTGATGCTGGAGCACCACAATTCTTTCACCTTTGTCATCAGAGGTCCCACTCCAGGGGACACCAGGTCCTGGAGTGTGATGTTACTTCTGCATTAGACTCAGCTCATATCCTGCCCCAATGCCTGCCTGTGACTTTTTCTTATGAGGCAAAGTTTAGAGTTTTGAAAAGTAAAGGGTTTCAGAAGGCTCTAACCTTTCACATAAGCCCAATCTGTTTCAGAGTCTACTCTAGCCTTGAGAGGCTCTAGAATACTGAGTGTGTTATTCAACCTCTCACCTGTCTCATCATTCTAATCATACTGCATGCTTTCAAACGGTCCCACCCAAACTCATATGTTGAAGCCTTAACCCTAGAACTTCAGAATGTGACCTTATTTGGAAATAGGGTGGATGTAGATGTAATTAGTTAAGATGAGGTCATGCTGGGGGTAGAATGGTCCCCTTCCAAGGACTAGAGTCCTTTTAAAGGGAAACTTTGGACACAGAGAAGCGACCACAGGGGGACACCGTGGGAAGACTGGGGTTGTGCTGCCACAAGCCAAGGAACCACCAGAAGCCTAGGTGAGGGTGGACAGGTCCTCCCCTAGAGCTTGCAGAAGGAGCCCGCCCTGCCCACACCTTGGTCTGGGCCTTTTGCCTCCAGGCCATGAAAAAATACATTCTGTTGTGTTAGTGACTGCTCTATGGTACTTTGTTAGACAGCCCTAGGATAAGGTGACCAGACATCCTGCCTTTGTCGGGACAGTCCGGATTTTGAACAATTTGACCCGCATCCCAGGGAGTCTTAAAATAGGGACAAATTGTTCAAAATCGGGACTGCCCCACCAAAAGCGGCACGTCTCATCACCTTACCCTACGACACTACGACACCTTACCCTATGACACTAATCAGCATACTTACCTAGGAAGGCTTAGGGAACACTGACTAGAGTAGAGGATGCCTGAGTGAGGTCCTGGCTCCTGCAGGCAGCCCATTCTTGGCTGTCCTCTCCTGTCCTTCGGCAGGCGTAGTGGGGCTGGGACAAAAGCATTGCTCTCACTTTTGCCTCCTCAGCTACTAAAATACAAAATGTCCAAAAACAAACACAAAAGGTCAATGAGAAGGAAGTCCTTTCAGTGAATGTCCCTCTTTGCCCAAGTTACCAGGCAAACATGTTATTCTTTATTTTCCACTCTTCTCTCTCACCCCTAGGGATGCAAAGCCCCAGAACCCCAAAAGAGGCCTCTTGGAAAGCACTCCACGATTTGTGGCAGGGAAAGTCAGATTGCTTGAAAATGACTAATAATTAGTTTACAGTGCTTGTAATGCAGTTTCCAAAACAATGGAATTAATCTTTAGAGGGAGAAATTAAAAGGTAGCTTGCTCCCGCAGGAGCTGTGAGGGTTGGCACATTAGGCTGATGAGCGCTCATCTGGACAGACAGCAGAACCCCAGGACGCCTCATTGTTTAATCAGCGCGGGAGATATCAAGTTGATTAATCCGTGCTCTCCTCTGACAGAGCTCTCAGTGCCACTGTCCTGGAGCCTTTTCCATTCCCCAGGATGCCATGGCTCTGCAGGGCACAGGGGCTGCTGGCTCTCCAGCTGGGCTGTGAGCAGGGATGAGGCCCCTTTGCCTTGGGCATCTCTCTACTTCGGGGTGCTGTTGTCATTTGGTTTGTTGCGAACACTACCCCACAGGGCAGCAACCCTGGAGGGCACTTGCAGTAGGGATGGGGCTTTTCCTTCCCTCCTATGGCTGCAGAGTCATCCACGTTTTTTTGTGCCCGAAGTTCCAGTCTAAGGGCCCAAGGGGCAGGCCCTCACAATGTGCACATGCTGGCAGTTTGGACAACTTCCGGGGACCCTGCATCCCACATCTGCAAATGTGGCCACTGAGTTCATGCCGCTGTGTTTTTCCTGAGGGAGGCACACCTGGAGGAGTAGAAAGGGCTTCTAGTGGCTAGTTTCATTTTGACCATCCTCAAGTAGGGCGTTCCCAGACAGAGCCTGGTCCCGAGCCTAAACTTGGGGTGAAGGCAATTAAATAAACCTACACTACTTTTGTTACTTGGCCCTTAGTGTTCTAGGTCCAATCAAGACCAGGTGTTTCCAATTAAAAAAATTATTTAAAAGTATTATATATATATTTTGCCTGGCCTGTGTTGCTGAGTGGTTGATCATTGATCCTTGAACAAGGAGATCACAGTTTGATTCCCAGTTGGGGCACAGGCCTAGGTTGGGGGCATGATCCCCAATGGATGGCTTGCAAGAGGCAGCCGATCCATGATTCCTTCTCATTATTGAAATTAGACTCTCCCCACTCCCTTCCTTTCTCTGAAATCAATAAAAACATACTTAGGAAAAAAAATATGATCATCTCTTTTGACTAATACAGTTACGCTCATTTATCCATTTTGTTTACTAGTACATCTAAGAAACCCGTTACGAGGCAGTGAGGGTTGGTGGATTCGGGGAGCCCATTAGAGTTACTCCCGAGGAAAGTGCCTGCCATCTGTGTGTCCTGGTGGTGGCTCCGAAGCAGATGTGAACCTCAGGCCTGCACAGGACTCTCATTCCTCTCACATGTGATGTGCGTTTGTATGATGCTCGGCTAACCAGGAAAGGAGTGTGTGTGTGTTGTAAATAATTGAGCTGAGGAGTAAACCTGACAAGGAGGGGAACAGTAAGTTGTGCGAATGACTGATATTCTTACGTTTAATCAAGATGCCCTTGGCAATTAGAAATTTGATGAAACTTTCTGGCATTTTTAATTCCATGATTTGTACATTGTACAAGTACATTTCTTGGTCCTCAGTCTCCATTTTCACAGTTTGACATTTCACCGTCTCCTAATTTTAGAATCTTGAAGTGCTTTTAAAGTGATAGCTTTGACAACTTTGAAATCTTATTCTAAGGGCAGCAAAGAAAGTTAGCATGTACATATTAGCATGATTTGTATTAGTCTTTAAGAGAAATAAAGCTTGCTATTTTGAAAAGTCAACATTAAACAAGGAACATGTATCAGTATTATTGAAGAAAATGCTTTTTTTTTGTTCATTTTTAACTTGTAACAAATAATCTTGGTGACTATATTATAATAGGTAGTAAAATTTACATTAAGAATTTTACTATAGCTTCCCTCCCTCCCTTCCTTCCCATTTTCTCCTCCTCTCTTCCACCCTCTAAACTCCCTCTCCTACTTTCCTTTGTGAGCTGTGGCCTTTGGTTTTGCCATGGGGTCCCCCTTTCCCCTCTGTTACGTGTTGTAACAGAGCAGCAGGACGCGGGTGCTCTGTGGGTTGTGTCTCCCTGGAAACACAACTGTCCCGGAAGCCGGGCGCGCTGGAGCCTGAGGCTCTCAGGAGCCAACGGCCTTTCCGTTGGACGGTCTTGTCTTCGGAGCAGGTGTCACTGCATATCTTGGAGACAAGCCACTTCGGAATAGAAAAGATTGTGGTTTTCCTCAGAAGGAAGGAGCCCTGTCCTGCCTTCAGGGAAAGCATATTTTCCAAAGAACCTCGGAGACGCCGGCCGACCGCTGAGAGTTCACAGGTCGTCTTCTGGTGCGTGTGACACCTGAGACATGAGCCGGCTCTCCAGGTTTTCGAGAGACACAGTAGGGAATCGGATGCCGGACCAGATCTCCGTGTCCGAGTTCATCGCTGAGACCACCGAGGACTACAACTCGCCCACTACTTCCAGCTTCACCGCGCGGCTGCACGACTGCAGGAACACCGTGGCGCTGCTGGAGGAGGCGCTAGACCAAGATAGAACAGCTTTACAGAAGGTGAAGAAGTCTGTGAAAGCCATCTACAACTCTGGTCAAGACCATGTACAAAATGAAGAAAACTATGCCCAAGTTCTGGACAAGTTCGGGAGTAATTTTTTAAGTGGAGACAACCGGGACCTTGGCACTGCGTTTGTCCAGTTTTCCACGCTCACAAAGGAGCTGTCCACCGTGCTGAAAACTCTGCTGAGCCAGAACGTGATCTTCACCTTGGGCTGAGCCAGAACGTGATCTTCACCTTGGACTCCCTGCTGAACGGAGACATCAAGGGAGTCCAAGGAGATCCCAAGAAGCCATTCGAAAAAGCTTGGAAAGAGTATGAGACAAAGTTCACGAAAATTGAGAACGAGAAGAGAGAGCATGCGAAGCAGCACGGGATGATGCGCACGGAGATCACAGGGGCGGAGATCGTGGAGCAGACGGAGAAGGAGCGGCGCCTCTTCCAGCTCCAGATGTGCGAATACCTCATCCAAGTCAACAACATCAAGACCAAAAAGGGCGTGGACCTGCTTCAGAATCTCATCAAGTACTACCCCGCCCAGTGCAATTTCTTTCAAGATGGCTTGAAAACGGCTGACAAATTGAAACAGTACATTGAAAACCTGGCTGCTGATTTATATAACAAACCAGACGCAGGAGGAAGAAAAGAAACGGCTGACCGCCCTCAGGGACTTAATAAAGTCCTCTCTGCAGCTGGATCAGAAAGAAGATCCCCAGAGCCGCGGGGGGGGGGGGGGGGTACAGCATGCACCAGCTCCAGGGCAACAAGGAGTATGGCAGCGAGAAGAAGGGGAACCTGCTGAAGAAAAGTGACGGGATCCGCAGAGTGTGGCAGAGGAGGAAGTGCTTGGTCAAGGACGGGATGCTGACCATCTCCCACGCCAGGGCTAACAGGCAACCAGCCAAGTTGAACCTCCTCACCTGCCAGGTGAAGCCGAATGCCAAGGACAAGAAGTCTTTTGACCTTATCTCACCTAATAGGTCGTATCACTTCCGGGCAGAAGAGGTGCCGCACCAGGTAGCATGGATCTCAGTGCTGACAAATAGCAAAGAGGAGGCCCTGACCATGGCCTTCCGCGGGAGCAGAGCACGGGCGAGAACAGCCTGGGGGACCTGACCAGAGCCATCATCCAAGACGTCCAGCGGCTGCCTGGCAACGACGTCTGCTGTGCCTGCGGCTCCTCAAAACCCATCTGGCTTTCTACCAACCTAGGCATTTTGACATGCATCGAATGTTCGGGAATACACAGGGAAATGGGGGTCCATATTTCCCGCATTCAGTCTCTGGAACTAGACAAGCTGGGAACTTCTGAACTCTTGCTGGCCAAGACCATTGGGAACAACAGCTTCAATAACATCATGGAAGCAAATGTACCCAGCCCCTCACCGAAGCCTACCCCGATGAGCGACATGACTGCGCGGAAGGAGTACATCACGGCGAAGTACGTGGATCATCGGTTTTCCAGGAAGACGTGTTCCTCTCCGTCGGCTAAGCTGAACGAACTGATGGAGGCCGGGCGGTCCCGGGACCTGCTTGCACTGGTGCAGGTCTACGCGGAAGGCGTGGAGCTCATGGAGCCGCTGCTGGAGCCCGGGCAGGAGCTCGGGGAGACCGCCCTTCATCTTGCAGTCCGGACTGCAGACCAGACATCTCTCCATGTGGTTGACTTCCTTGTCCAAAACTGTGGGAACCTGGACAAGCAGACGGCCCTGGGGAACACAGCCCTGCACTACTGCAGCATGTTCGAGAAGCTCGAGTGCCTGAAGCTGCTGCTCCGGAGGAAGCCCACCGTGGACGCGGTGAACCAGGCTGGAGAGACTGCCCTGGAAATAGCAAAGAGACTGAAAGCCACCCACTGTGAAGACCTGCTTTCCCAGGCCACGTCCGGGAAGTTGAACACGCGCGTGCACGTGGAGTACGATTAGAACCTGTGCCAGGAGAAGATGGACAAGGGCGAGGACGACCTGGAGGACAAGCTTAGCCCCACAAAGGAGCGCAGGCCGCGCCCCCAGAGCTTCTGCCACTCCTCCAGCATCTCCCCCCCCCCCCCCCCAACAAGCTGGTGCAGCCGGGGTTCTGCACTCCGCGGGACAAGCAGCGGGTCTCCTATAGCGCCTTCCCCAAGCAGATCGTCACCTCCGCGAGCACAGACTCGCCCAAGTCACCCACCTCGGAGGCACCTTCGCTGCCTCCTGGAAACGCTGGCCAAGGTCCCCCTGGCCCACCTTCCAAGCTCCCACTCAGCATGCAGTCCTCCACCAGTGGCAGCGGCACCTCCACCAGGTCCAAGAAGCGGCCCCCGCCGCCATCCCCAGGGCACAAGAGAACCCTGTCGGACCCTCCCAGCACTATACCTCAAGGGCCCTCCAACGAAGGCGCGGTTACCTGGGGTAACGACATGGGTCCATCCCCGTCCAGTAAGACCACAAACAAGTTGGAGGAGCTGTCTCCGCAGGCGAGCACTGGTTCCACGAAGCCTGCCCTTGGCCCGCAAGTTCTGCCTAAACTACCTCAGAAAGTGACCCTCCGGAAGCCCGAGACCAGCCACCCTCTCTCCCTGGACCAGGCCAGCATCCCGCCCGAAGGCGCCCAGAAACCAGCACCGCTGGCAGACCTGCCCCAGAAGCCCCCCGGAGACCTGCCCCCGAAGCCCACCGACCTGGCGCCCAGGCCTCAGATCGGAGACCTGCTGCCTAAGCCGGGAGAACTGCCTCCCAATCCTCAGCTGGGTGACCTGCCCCCCAAACCACACGTGAAGGACCTGCCCCACAAGGTGCAGCTGGAGGACCAGCTGGCCAAGGCCCCGCCCAAGGCCCCGCCCCCCAACAGCTCCCCCAAGGCGCACTTGCTGGACCTCTCCCAGAACTTGCTGGCCCCAGACGCCCTCCAGAAGCAGGCCTCCGAGGATGCCCACGACCTGACGCCCACCCGGCCCGAGATGTCTGTGCCGCTGCCCAGGAAGATCAACACCAGGAAGAACAAGGTGCGGCGTGTGAAGACCATCTATGACTGCCAGGCAGACAACGATGAGGAGCTGACCTTCCTGGAGGGCGAGGTGATCATCGTCACGGGGGAGGAGGAGCAGGAGTGGTGGATCGGCCACATCGAGGGAGAGCCTGAAAGGAAAGGGATCTTTCCTGTGTCCTTTGTCCAAATCATGACCAACTAGCAAGGAGGAGCCCCCGGCACCCCGTGCCCAAGTGTACGTAGCTGCCGTTACAGAACGCTCCGCGGTGTGTCTTGTTAATAAACGGCCTGTTATCATAAAAAAATAAAAAATAAAAAAATAAAGAAGGCATTAATTGAATTTTGGGAACAGCTCTTGGAAAAGAACTGTGAGATTTCTCGATTAGGAAGCAGCGGCCTCTGCCGCCTTGGGGGGGAGGGGGGGTTGTGTGTGGTCCTACCTTGAGATCAGGCACAGGGTCCCAAATAGCCACTTTGGTGCTAAGTTTCTAAGGCCCTGTGAGTAAGGAGAGAAGACCATTCTGTTTAGTCCCACCCCTGTGTATTGATGTGCGTATATGTAAATGTATACATTGGATTAAGTAAAACCAAATTACAGGTACTTATCTCCCCTTTCAGAGGACCAATCAGCCTCCTAACATGAGGGGGAGGGGAAAACTTCAGAATACTTGGGGAGCTGAGCTTCTCTGCAGCAATGCAGCTCCAGACATAGGTCACAGGTAGAGCTGACGATCAATAAAACTACAAAAGTATAGGAGGGGTCTCCAGAGGAACACAGTTTCCAAATTCTTCACGAGAATGTGAGCACAGCTATGAGACATCCACATCCTCTGGGTCCCTTACAAAGGGTCTGAAATGAAATGTTGGCCGCAGGGCCCAGGTTTCACGGCTTCTGCTGCCCCTGCTCTCCTCCTCTCCCATCCTCGTTCCACCGCCTCTTCTGCAGGACCGGTAAGAGGAAGAGTGCTGGTGCAAGCTATAGGATGCTTCCTAAGATTTTAAGTTGAAGAAAATCTGAAAATCCTTCCTAAAGAGGAAAGAGATGCTTTTATAATTTGTTTCTTACTTGTAGAAATTCTACTAAAAAGATGTGCCAGTTTCAGCCTTGAAAAATATTTTCGGTGATGGCTGGACTTTTGGAGGTCAAGTACACAAAATGTCTGGGTGGATATGACCACTGTGTGACAGAACTGTGAGGCAGAGCCCTGCAGTGGCCTGAGGGAGCGCGTGGAAGGGAAAGGCGTCGGTGGTATGTTTGAAGGACCGGCCTCTCCCAGGACACACAGGAGGGCTCAAGCCCATGCCACCAGCAATGTCCCTGGCAGGGACACTGACATAGGGCGTGGGGGGAGGGCCACCCCGAGGGGATGGCTGGAAGATCTGAAGTCAAATAGTGATTGGAGTCCCAGATGAGAAGTTGTCAACATCAAACCTTGTTATCTGGTGAGAGGTCAGACCAGTAGTGTCTTGCTCACCTAACTTAAATATCTATCTTTTAACTCTAAGGAATAAAGAATAATAATAATAATAATAATAAAAAGGAAAACCTGCTTAGGGACCAGCCTAATGTCCTTCTGCTTGATATGCAGCTCGTGGCCTTTAACATAAAACTTGCATTTCTACCTGTTCCAATCCTAGAAAATGGGGTGGGAACAAATTAAGGCATGATGTTAAATAAAAGGATGTTTAAGGAAGTCAAGCGTGCTTTTAGCTGTTTGGACACATCTGGGCATTTTCCCTCCTCCTCCTCTTCTCTCCGTAAGACGGTATTACCTACCGCTCACAGAGTTTCCTGGCAGGAAGGGCCATGTCTGAGGTCAGAGAAGCTTTAAGGCCCTCACAAATACATTTCACACTGTAAAACAGGTCAGGCGTTGGTCACAGTTCACCTCACGCAAAGTCTCTAATAGTGACGATAATGGTGTAACCTAGAAACCCTATATCAAACTTTGAAGGGGCTTCCACATATTCCCCCACCTTAGACTTAAAGCAGGAGAGTGGATCACTTTGTCAATGAGGAGTGAGGTTCTAAGCAGCTGGAAGCAGCCTGCTGCCCTGTGATGACCACATTCACCCTGGCTTCAAACCTACCCCCCCGCCCCCCCCGCCTTCTCTGCCCGCTCCCAGACATTGGCTGGATAAGGCTGAGTGAGGTTGGCCTCCTCCTGTGAGTTGAGCACATGCTTCCTCAGAGTTGGTCAAAGAGGCACAATTCCCAATGGGCTAAAAGTGGAAATACGATGTCTGCCAT